CCCCCCCCCCGAAGTCAATTAAAAAAAATGTTAAAGTGCACACTACAGTATTGTTAACTATGGGCAGAGCATTGTAGAGCAGATTTCTAGAACTTACTATCTTGCTTAACTGAAACTTTATACCTCTTGAACAGCAACTCCCGTTTCCCTCCCCCCTGACCCCGGCAGGCAGCCTTCTGCTCTGTTCCTAGGCGTCTGGCTGCTTTAGGCCCTAATGTAAGCGGAATCATGCAGCATTTGTCCTTCTGTTACTGGTTTATTCCCTTCGTGCGATATCCTTCAGGTTCATCTAGGTTGTTGCATATGGCAGGATTTCCTCCTTTTTTATGGCTGATAATTCGTTGTATGTTTACACCACATTTTTTTATCCCTTCATCTATGGATGGATATTTTAGGTTATTTCCATATCTTGGCTGTTGTGAATAATGCTGCAGTAAATATGGGAGTGTTAGATATCACTCCAAGATCCTGATTTCAGTTCCATTAGCTATATGTGATTATTGAATTATTTGATTGTTGTATTTTATTTTTTGAGGAAACCCCGTATTGTTTTCCATAATGGTTATACCATTTTACAGAAAATGTATAGGTGTTCCAAATTCTCCATATCCTTGCCAACATTTATGATTTTTTGTTTGTCTGTTTGATAATAGAAGTCCTAACAGGGATGAGTTAATATCTCAAGCTTTGGTTTCCTTTTCCCTGGTGATTATATCTGATTCTAAAATTTGTGCTTTGCTCATGTTTCTGTTGTACTGCCTTCTTTTAAACCTACTTAAACATTTTCACAGTTCCCCAAAATGGACATTACCAAGCATCTTACTCTGCACTTTGTGGCAGAAAGCAAGACCCTGCAGCGGGTCCGGACATCCACCCACAAATGGACAATTTGCTCCCTCCTCCCCTTAAGTGGTGGTAAATAGTATTTCCTTTAAATTAGCCCCGTAATGTGTATATCTGACAATAAATATAACACAAAAGAAAGCCACATTTCAAGGGGCGGTTTATATTATCCTGCTCAGCAAAAGAAATTCAGAAACGCTCATGTTGGGCACCCTCCCTCCCTCTAGTGGTGAAGTAAAATAAAAGAAATTTCTGATAGTCTCAAATTGCTTATTTCAGGCTAAAAAAGAGTCAGAAATTGTTTAATTTTTTTATTGCATATCGAGTTAAACTTTGATCACATTATAGAAAATGAGGTTAATGATTCTGGAATTCAAAATAGGATTCAATGTGATGGCTGGGATTCTAGACTAGGGGCTTTTGTACGACCATTTGGAAAATGACGAAGATGATATAGTATAAACCGACTTTATAATACCATGTTAGTACAAGATTTCAATGCAGGACACATCGTGTCATTTTTGAAACAATGATTTATGGTAGCAAGCCCATTTTAATCGAAATTTCCTTCAAGATGTGTGTCAATTCTTCTTGTTTGTACAAATGAGTAGTATTACTAAGAGAAGATATAACCCTCTGGTTCTTTGGGACTTTGAAAATGTATGTTTTGCCTATTTCCTCCTACTCCATATAGATGTTCTGATTACTAGAAATATGATGTGAGTGAAAGCAGGAGGGTTATAGTATATATAAGACCCATTGCATCATCATCATCACTAGTAAATTAGTTTTTGGTCGGAAAGTTTCTTTTAATATGAAACAAACATACCCTTCTTTTAGATATATTGTAGTTGATGGAGATTTGGACCCAGAATCAGAAAAACCTACATTCAGTTCCCTGAAGTACCTGTTATTAGCTGTCTGGCCTTGAGCAGCTCATTTAGATTAAGCATCAGTTTCCTCTCAGTTGTGGAGATAATTACCATTGCAGGAGACTGCAGTGGGGACCAAATTTAATGGACATGAACTCATCTCTGCTCACTGCAAAGCACTGTATTACTACATTTTTACTTGCTATTTATTCTGAGTATGGCTTGAGATTATACACATCCAGCCCTTGAAATGCACATGAATTCTGTTTTGCTTCATTTGAGTGTAGACATTTTAGAAAACTGCAATTCTTGCTGCAAACACCACTAATTAAACTTTTATGTTCAGACATTTATTCAAAGCCTTGAAATTACTTTCATCATTTCCAGAGCAGATTTCCTTAGACAATTTATTCCTGGGATACTCAGTGAGAAAGAACCCTGTATGACAGATAAAGGCACAAAGCATCTTAAAAATAAGCTGCTGTAAACTCTCAGGCTGTGAGGCCTTTGAGAAGTTATTCTTGATGCTGTACTCCTGTCACAAAGTCATCTATTAGGTATGCTGAGGTGTTTTAAAAAGTAGTGGCATAGAACTGGAGAGAAAGATATTAGGTGCATTCTAACAGAGAATATAACATATTTCAGTAATTTAAAACTACGTCATGTCAGCATGACAGTATGTGTCAAGGTACAGCAAAGAGAGAGA